CAGGAGCAGCAGCAGCAGCAGGCGCCCCAGAGGGTGGGGCCTCCGCCGCCCGCTTGGCCGCCTCAATGCGGGCCTTGCTCGCGGCGGCGAGCTTTGAGAAGAGCTCGATGGCCTGGGTAACCTGGACGGCCTCCTCGCCCTCGAAATGGTCCTTGAGCTCGGCGGCGTACCTCGCTCCGAGGGTGGCTTGGGCCAGCCTGTCGACGTCCTGCGCTCGCTGGTCGAGCTGTGCCTCGGGCGGGAGGCCCGCCTGCTCCACCCTCCTGGCGCGCTCGAGCAGGTCCTGCGCCTGGGCGTGGGCCTTGGCTGCGGCCTCCTTGGCCTCCGTGGCCTTGTCCACCGCCAGCTGGGCGTCCGCCAACGCCTCCTGTGCGGCCTCCAAGTTCTGCTGGGACCTCTCGAGCTTGCCCGCCGTGTTTTTGACCTTCCACATGGCGCTCTGCACCGTGGCGTGGTGCGACTTGGGCGCCTCTGGGCCTGCCTTGCTTGGGTCGGCCTGCCTGCCGACTCCCAGCTTCTTCTGCGCCTCCTCATCAAGCTGGACCCCGCGCTCCTCCAGCAGCCGCAGCGCTGCTGCCAGCTTGTCGGCCTCGTCGTCCTCCCTGATCTCGACGACCTCCGCCTCGCGGAACCGCACCCGCCGAGGCTTGCCGCCGCCGTGCACCCAGGGCGCCTCCGCGGCCGCCGCCGACTGCTTGGGCTCCGTCTCGGTGCTGGCCTTGGCGCCCGCCTTGGCCTTGGGCGCCACTGCCCTGGGCGGCCGCGCCGCGGAAGGGGACGGGCCTGCCGCCGCCTCCACTGCCCGCTGCCGTACGGAGACAGGCGCGGGGCCCCCGCAGCTCCTGCAGTGGAGCCGCGATGCCCAATTGGCCGCCTCGCCACAGCGGCAGCCCCAGGCTGGGGACTTGGGCCCCGGGAGCACGGTGCCGCCGCCGCCCTGCGCCGCCGCCCCGCCGTGGCCACGCGGCCTGGTGCCCATTGCGTGAGCCAAGAGGGTTGCGGAGGCAAAGGAATGGCGAGAAGTCTGGTGATCGTTGCCAGTGCTCGTGCGCACACGGCGCTCTGAAGTATGTACGCACAAGACCCCCCCCCTGGGAGAGCCCAGAACGCCTCTCCTCCTCCTCCTCCTCCTCCTCCTCCTCCTCCTCCTCCTCCCACCTCCACGCTCCTGCCTTTTTTGGCGCCCAGACAGAATACCTGGGCGGCACAACCTGAAAAGGAGGTAGGTGCTCAATGTGCCTGCATGAATTTACATGCAGTCGGACCTCGCAACAGAAATGACAGCACAGACACGCCCCAGGCGTCACATCTGCGCCGCCGTTGCGACGTGCCTCGAGATGCCACCCCGGGACATGACCACCGGCACCACCACCACTTGGCCGCCGGCCTCAAACAGCAGAAACCCCACTGCGCGAGGACTAAGTTCCCGCGCCCTCCCCGTCAGGGGACCCTTTCGAGTAACCCCATCGGGCCTCTCAAGGGTGGCACGGCGGGCCTGCACCTACTGCGGTTGGCAAACAACAGGGCAAGAGTCTCTCCCACAGCCCCGCCGGGCTGTGGTGACGATCGGGTTGCGAACCCGCCTGTTTTCCTGGGACGCCACGAGGGCACTCAGCGGCACAGGTGCCACCTCCATCCTCCTCCCACCTCCCCTTCTCTTCCACATCGCTCCTCCTCTTCCTGCCCCGCCCCCCTCCTCCACTTCCACCTGCTAATCCTCCTTACCCGTAGAGCGGCCAAGATAGCCGCTTGACGCCCCACCCTCTCTCGTGCTCTCTCTGTACGCATCATTGCCCCCCCCTATCCCAAATCCTCCCTCTCCCCATCCTCTTCCTCCAATATTTCACCTTCGACCCATATCCGTATTCCTACTTCATGTTGGCTCCGTCTACCGTGTCACGGTTGGATCAACATCCCGATTCATATCACACTCCTCCTCCTCCTCCTCCTACTGATTGGCTCACCTACTCAACTATTCCTCCAGTACGCCTGTATTCGTTTCAGACTCTTATTCCTCATCTCAAGTACCACTGGTCTTCTCCACCCGCTGATGTGTGACCACAAATGACATGATGATACGGTCTGGTGAGCACAAATGGCATGATCTGCCAGACTTTCAAAATCCGCCGATCCGGCGTGTGAGTTTCAAGGAGTCTCAGCTACAGCCTCGAGGCTGAGCTTCAGCCTCTGGGGGGGTCGCCGGGGTGGCTCTGCCGGGGAAGGGGGGGTGGGGGGGGGGGGGGGGGTGCGAGTTTCCGGCGAACCCCGGGGCCGCTCCGGGGGAGTGGAAGATAGGGGGGGGGGGGGCGCCATGCTCCGCTTTTTCCGGCGCTTTGGAGGAGGGGGGGGGCCCAAGAGACCCCCAAGGGGTTCCAAGAGGGCCCCGAGTCGCCGAAAAATCGCTCCAAGACGCCCGAGATGGCCTCCAGACGGCCCAAGGTGTCTCCAAGACGCCCCAAGAAGCTTCCAAGAGGCCTCCCAAGAGGGCCCCAAGAGGCCAGAATCGTTGATTTTCATTGGTTTTCTCAGGGTTTTTAGCGTTCTTGCCTTTTCGGGCGTCCGACGCTCGAAGACGGCCCAAGAGGCCCCCAAGTCCGTCCCAAGACGGCCCACGATGCTTCCAACACGGCCCAAGAGAGCCCCAAGACGGCCCAAGAGGGCCCCAAGACGGCCCAAGAGGGCCTCTGGACAGCCCAAGAAGGCCCCAAGAGAGCCCCAAGAGGGGCCCAAGAGGGGGACCACGAACCGAAAGAACCGAGCTTTCCGCCCCAAGAGGCCCCCAGGAGGCCCCAAGAGACCCCCAAGGGGCCCCAAGAAGCCCACAAGAGGCCCAAAAGAGGTTCCAAGAGGCCCCAAAACAGCTCCCCAGAGGCCTCCAGACTGCCTCCGGCAGGCCCCCGGTTTCTTCCGCGGCACCGCCCAGGGCGCCACCGGCAGGATGTCCTCCGTCTCATCGTTTTCCTTCAAGTTATCGCCTCTTCCTCATTCTCCTCCTCCTCCTCTGCGACCTCACTCCTATCCCTCAACGATCGCGTCACCGAGTGCCTCTTCTTTGAAACATCCTCGCTCTTCAAACGCACATCCATACACACATGCATACATACCTACATTTAAACACATTTGCATACATAGAAAAACAATCTTCCAGACATACATACTTACATTCACACACATACACACATATTATCATACACACATACAAACATACATACAAACTAAATACATACATACGCGCACAAGCATACATACATACATACGTACCTACACACAGGCACACATGATCAATGCATGCATACATGCATGCACGCGTACATACACACACATATATCGTGAAACTCACCGCGTGCTCGAAACTTGAGAGAGACCGCGGGAAGTCGAGAGAAGCCGCGGAACGAGGCCTCTACTACTACTACCACTACTACCACAACCACTACTACTACTACTACTACCACTACTACTACTACTACTACTACTACTACTGCTACTACTACTACTACTACTACTACTACTATACTACTACTAGTACTACAGGAGCGTTTCCCAACTAGTATGTGTGTGTGGGTGATGCTGTGTGCGCATGTCTGCGGCGCAGGTTAAGTGGTGTGACTGTGTGTGTGCGTTTGAGTGTGCGCCCATAATTTCTGCGTCTGGAGAATAACCCCGAGCGACCCGGATCGGCGGCACTGGCCGAAGGCCACTACAATACTGATGTACACCGAAAAACGTCGAACCAGTACAGGGACAAACTTCGAAGAAGACAATATCGTGGAAAGAAACCCAAACCCTTGGAAAACAAGTAGATCCTGAAGTTACGGAGCAAGGACCAGCGACGACCAAAACAAAGTCATGGAATTCAGATTCGGGTTCCAGCTCTGACTCAACCAAATACATCGGAGTCGAACCAACCAAGTTCCTGGAATCTAAGCAGAGATGAAGCGATGGCGAGGACCAGGCAGAAACATATGTAAACCACCAGACGTCTCGGATTCTTGGGACACATAGCTCACCCGCTGCGCTGCAAGCATCCACGCAGTGCTTGTACTGATGGTGGGGTAATAGCACTGGCAACGCGTCGACAATTCGAAGACTGGCGTTGTTGGGCATATGTTGCTTGGCGTGTCCATGTTGCCTCGGCCTCCGGGCCTCCTTGGAGGAAAGACTCCAGCCCGATCCTGGCGATCGGGCCTAATCGACGCTCTGACAAATTATTGCGATAGACGCGCCTCACTCGTGGCACGCGAGACCCTTCTCATAACAATTACACCTTACTTTCGAATAAGCTTGAATATGGCCGATGCTGCAGTCAAGTAACGCATATGTTCCTCAGGGTCCTGGGGAAATTGTCAGGCTTGACCTCACGCTTGGGCAACTTTGCGCGTAGACACCCATGTTCGCGCTCGGGCGTCAGAAGCAGGACGCGCGAAGGTTCCTGGAAGCCGCTGAAGCCACGCCAGGCCACGGCGCAGAGTAAAGTTGTTCTCAGGGTGATCGGCACACCTGTGAGCAACAGGTTGGAGGGGCCTCGGAAACATGAGACGTGAGGTCCCTCCTCAACCGCATGTTTCCTGTTTCCTGATGGCCTGAGGGATCCACGATCGCGGCTACTACTCAACCGCCTCCTCCTCCTCCTCCTCCTCCTCATCCAGAATTCCAGGGCGGACGCGACCCCAACCGCGACCAAGAGAGCGCTCCCAGAGAGCTCAAACGAAGGCCAGAAACACCCCGAAAACCTCGACCTTCAACCCTCGATCGACGACGAAAATCTCGACCTTCGACCCTCGATCGACGACGACGAAGACGACGACGAGTCCTCTGCCCCTGCACGAGGGCTCCCGAGGCCCCTGGAGGTCTCTGGAGGCCCTCCGAAGAACCACCCAAGCGCTCGGGGTCCACCCCGAAAGCGCTCGGGGTGCCCCGAAGCGCCCAGGGTCCTTCGGAGCCCTCCGAAGACATTCGGAGGCAACCGGCGGTGATCGCGCGGCACTCGCGCGCCGCGTCGCCTGGCGCTGCCGGGGCGCCTGGCGACCCCCGCGCCCTGGGCCAGCGGGCGCGGCGCGCGCGAGCACGCCGCCGAGGCCTCCACCTCGCGTGGGGGGTGGGGGCGGGGCCCATCACCCCCCCGGTCTGGAGTGATGACGAGGGTTACGATGAGGATGACGAGGACGAGGATGGTGGAATTTCTCGCCGTCGCCTCCGTGGAGGTCCCCGTCGTCACCGGTCACCGCCGTCGTCGTCGTCGTCGTGGTCGTCGTCGAGGCCGCCGTCGTCGAAATGGGTGAAACCCTGCGCCAGCTGATCAGGGCAGGGGGAGGAGGTATGGGAGGAGGAGGAGGAGGAGGAGGAGGAGGAGGAGGAGGAGGAGGAGGAGGAGGAATAAGTGAAGCAGCATTTCTCTTATTCCATCTTGGGGAGGGGGTTGGGTGGGAAGGAAGTTGGCCCAGCCTTCTCCTGCAGGCCAGAGACTCCACCCCTCGCCCAGCCACACGAAGGGGGTGTTTCAGTGCCCTTCGGAGTGGATTTGTTGTCGACGTGAGGCCTGTTAGAACCATCATTTGGTCTCTCAGGGGCCTCTCGAAGGTCTTCTCATCGCCACGGCTGCATAACTCCTTGAGATCCTGACCAGAACGCGTACAGGGAAGGTCCACTCTTTCTACCACAGGACCCAGACGTCTGGCGGATCAAAACAAAATCCGAGGCGGCCAGTCTCTCGCCCTCTGGGAGGCCTGTGTGAGGGCCGGCTTAGGACTCGGGCCCGTCACAAAACAGTCATGGATGAGAAACTGGACCGCAGGAAAGGTGTCAGTCCTGGGGGCCCACTTCCTGCGTCACGAAAAACTAACTTCGGATCCTGGGCAGTGCCCTCCCTCCCCTCCTGAGATCACGTGCTCGACCAAGGATCCCTTGCTACAGTAGCCAGCGGCCACTGGCGGTCTTCGGCGGTCCCGAGCGGCCTTCGGCGATCGTCTGCACGAAAGCTGCACGGTTTTGCGCGTGGTAGGGATGCTGAAGTCGAAGAAGCTCGTCATTGGCTCTCCCAGGCCATGGAGGGGAGTCCCCTGCCTCCTGCTCTTGCCGTTCCTCCTCTGCCTGGCCATATCGTGGCTAGGTTTGGGAGATATGTTGGCCGAGCAGCGCTGCGCATCTGAGGATGCCTAGCTCGACATTCCTGCTCCCCCCATCAGCGGTTGCCACCCTCGACATGCTCTATACGTGGTCGACGGGGGCACTGACGCGCAGATGTCCAAACACGCGGTTGACTGGTCGAGGACAGGGCCACCGAACTACGATAATCCTGGCATCCTGGTGGCCATGGGCCCCGACGGCCTCTGGGTTGCGTTGGGGGGTCCTCCTTGACGACGACCTGAGCTTCGCCTTGGATTCTGTGCGCACGGTCGATGGGGCCAGAGTCCCGCTGCGGCTGCGGGTAGCTCGCGGCTGAGGAAAGCGCCATTTGCGACCAGTCGCGGGCACGAGCCGCAGAATGGGCAGGCTGGGAGCTGGTGGCTGGACCACCGTGGCACAAAGCGTTGCCGAGTGGCCACTGGCGTCGGCTTGCAGCCACCAGCGACCCACCCAGCGCCCTTTGCCCATGAAAGGGCTCCGGTGCACTGTGTTGGGCGGTGCTGAGCGCCTGGCAGCGGCTGGCGCATGAGAGGTTCTGGCCTGTGCACCTGCCAGGCGCGGCCTTATCTCGCTTCCCCGCCCAGCGTGCGACCCGAGCGCCTGCCAGGCGTAGTGCGCGACGTGGAGACCATCGCTGATAATCCGAGACAGAAGGGACGAGAGGCCCCCAGAGTCCACCCCGAGAGGCCTTCGCGGGGGCAGCCCCGCCGCCCTGTGCGGTGGGTGATTCCAGCTCCCAGGGGCCCGGAGCCGAAGTCACCTCTGCGCAGGCCTCCGCTCGCCTGTGCAGGTCGGCAGACTGGGTGTGAAAGCTGCGCCTCGCACAGGGATAAAGCGACCCCCCCCCCTGGCGCTTCACGGGCCCCCGCCGCGGGGGCCCCCGCCCGCCTCGCTACTGCCTCCTCTCCCCCTCCCCTGCCGCTCCCCCCCCCCCCCATCCGCAGTCGCTCCACGGGCCCCTGGCCCCAAGGCGGGCGCGCGCGGCCGCCGCCGCGCCCCCCGCTGGGAGGGCGAGGTGCGCAAGGGCGACCGACGGCGACGGCGGCGAGGGCGACGAGCACGGCGACGAGCACGGCGACGGGGACGGAGAGGAGGGCGGCGGCGGCGGCGGCGATGGCCACGACGGCGGCGGCGGCTGCCGCAAGGGCCTCCGCCGAAGCCTGTGCTGCCCGAGGCCGCCGCGCGGCCCCCGCCGCTGGCGCCCCCGCCAAAGCCCTGGCTCGCGAAGCCCCGCGAGGCGAGGGCCATCGGCAGCGCGGGAGGCCGCCGGGGCCGCGGCCTCCAAGGAGGGGAGGAGGGGAGAGGTCTGAGAGGACAGGCAAACCAATGGCCACACAAAAATTATCCCAGTGCGACCCTACCTAGGAGTTGGAACCCCTGGGAAAGCAGCATTAGTAGTAACAGTAAAGCTAAACTAAAGCTAAGCCACAGCTAAGCTAAAGCTAAGCTAACGCTAAACTAAAGCTAAGCTAACGCTAAGCTAAAGCTAAGCTAGAGATAAGATAAAGCTAAGCTAAAGCTAAGCTACAGCTAAGCTAAAGCTAAGCTAAAGCTGAGCAAAAGCTAAGCTAAAGCTAAGCTACAGCTAAGCTAAATCCAAGCTAAAGCTAAGCTAAAGCTAAGCTAAATCTAAACTAAAGCTAAAGCTAACGCTAAAGCTAACGCTAAGCTAAGGCTAAGCTAAAGGCTAAGCTAAAGGCTAAGCTAAAGGCTAAGCTAAAGGCTAAGCTAAACGCTAAGCTAAACGCTAAGCTAAACGCTAAGCTAAAGCTAAGCTAAAGCTACAGCTAAAGCCAAGCTAAAGCTAAGCTAAAGCTAAACTAAAACTAAAGCTAAAGCTAACGCTAAAGCTAACGCTAAAGCTAAAGCTCCCAGGGGACTGGGGGAACCGCTCCCAGGGGACTGGGGGAACCGCCCGGGGCGCTTTGCACTGCCCGGCCCCTTTAAGCTAAGAGAGTAAGAACCCTTCTAGGCAGAGCCTAGGTAGGGAAAAACAGGGATAGGCATGTACAACATATGGCTGTGCATCATGCGCAGTATGCGTGTATGCATCGGAGCGCACACCTCACGCTGATCGCGACGTCAAGGCCCGAGCAAACAATGCTTGTGTTTGGTCGTTGCGCTGATTGTGCTAAACACACTGGTGCTTATTAGTATTGCGCATAACCGTGATAACACCAGTGGTTGTCAAATGATCCCAGCTGTCAGGTTCTAGCAGATCTGATTGACGCAATGGAAACGTTGCCAACGAGGCATCTACATGTTACAAGCAGGCTCCAAATTGTCTGGGCATCCTTGCTTAACGCAATCGGTGGTATGGTGTACCAAACATTGGTTTTCAGACATGCTTGTCCAACACACTTGCGTAACGCATTCGCAAACATATTGTTGGGGACTACACGGTTTTGCATGCTCCATGCCGATACATCAGCAACAAGTGGAAGCAATAATACCAAAACACATGGAGCCGAGGACGACGACGAGGACACTCTCCCTCCAGTCCTTACCCGCACTCCCTCCTCGCCTTCATTCCCGTCGCCCTCCGCCGACCGACTACTTCTACGCGCACCCACCCGTCCGATGGGGCTCGCCTGCGAAGGAGGAGGAAGAGGTGGATCCGAGGAGGGATGAGGTGGAGGCGGAGATGGAGAAAGGATGCGAAGAAGGTGGAGGACGACCATGACTCTGCAACCAAGTCAAAAGAGGAGGGGTCAGCTCTGCAAGCGGCAAATCAGGAGGAGGAAGAAGAGGAAGAGGAAAGGGAGGAGGAGGGGGGAGGCGGAGTGAGAACAATAAAGGGGATGGAGAAGGAGCGGCAGCAGGTGGAGGAGGCCTGGGCAGTCCTGCGACACCTGGGCCGGATGCCGCCTGCTTCCCCCCTCTGCACCACTGAGGGCGGCCATCCAGCTTGCTGTGAACAGGCAAGTCCTCCTCCTCCTCCTCATCATCATCAGCATCATCAGCATCATTATCATCATGATCCTCATCATCATCATCATCAGCATCATCATCATCATTATCATCATCATCATCAGCATCAGCAGCAGCAGCAGCATCATCATCATCATCATCATCATCATCATCATCATCATCATCATCATCGTCATCATCATCATGATCCTGGCCCACCTCTCGCTATCATCCTGCTCCTCGCCGCCATCGCGCCCTTCCTGCCCTTCTACCTACCTCCCACTCCCTCACCTATATGTTTTGGATGTTGCTTCGCGACAGTTCTGATTCATGTTTCCTGATTCCCTTTCCCCCATTCCTCTCCTACCCCTTCTTCCCCCCCTTCGATGATTCCTCCTTCCCATTTTCCATATCCTGCTCGTCGTACTCTTTTCATCCTTCCTCATCCCCTCCCTCTCTGCGTGTGGCTCCTCGCTCCTCCCTCCCCCTGCTCTCCCATCCCATCATTTGTGCGCCTTTTCCTCCTCCTCCTGCTCTTCTTCCTCCTCCTCATCCCTCTTCCCCCCCCACCAGCCCGCCCGCCCACCCGTGCTTCGCGCACAGCACGCCTGGACTGCCAGAGCGCGCCGCGCGTTGAGCGCCCGGCGATGGCCAGACGCGGCTCTGCGGAGCGCGCGTGAAGGGAGGAGAAGGAGGGCCCTTCTTCGGCGGTCTGCCAGTCGGGCCAAGGAGGGGAACGCAAAGTGGAGAGGAGAAGGGGAAAGAAAACATGGGGTGGGATTGTGGCCTGTCAGTCAAACAGCGTAGGGGAATGGGGAGGCAGGACAAGAAAAGCCCAGTCGCGAAGCGAGTTTACATGAAATTAAGCTCTAGCCCTGGCCGCCTGCTCAGCTTTGCTGAGCACTTTGGGCCAGAGACCTGGTGAGCCCTGTTCAAGGACACCTTCCGAGTCTTAGTCGGGGGATGACAGGGCTTGGCGAAACCTTTAAGCTGGGAGTCTCCATAGCACCCGCACGCCCCGCGAGACCACAGGTTCAGGCAATCGTGACACTCCGTTGAGGGGGACTGGTGAACCCACCCTCCAGCGAGATGTATACGACGACCGTGAGGCAATCTATGGTTGTGACTGGAACGGACCTCGAACTGAAGACACGGACTGGCCATTCACTCGATCTTGGAGGCATCGGAAGCTGACCTCTTGCAAACTGGACACCTTTTCTCGCAATCAAAGAACCGATCGGATCTCTCGAAAACAACTGTGCACAGACGAGTAGGAGGTGGAGGAGCACGAGCAGCAGCAAGAGCAGCAGCAGCAGAGGCACGTTTTTTTCTCCTCTGCGCGTCTTCTGCCTAGGCCTGACCTTGCCTTGCAAGCGTCGGCCTCAACGATGGCAACACGGTGTCTCTCAGACTCTGGAAGTCTAGCTGTCTTGACTGCAACTCCAGCCAGGGCGTCGACTAACATTTTACCGTCGACCATCCACCGAGGAAGGTCTTGATAAACAACATATAGTATATATGGATCTAAATGAGAGGCAACTTTCGTGACTACAATCTTTGTTGGGCCCCTAGATCTGGCGCGTAGGTCTTTACTAGAGCGACGCCAAGTATCAGCATTCGCACCCGTCGGATGCTCAAAGAGACGGCAACGACATGCCCTGCATACTTGGTTCGTCATTACCGTTTTTGAAAATGGGCGGGCCGATGGCCCACCGCATACCTAACTCTAGATCGACAAATTCTCTTCTGGCTACTGTATGGCGTGACTCAGGGAGGAGTCCAAAAAGAAATCGCGCGTCTGCGTCCAAAATACTCGGGGCCGAGCGCGAGCGCCAGGATGGCACGACCAGCATTCGCCCTGGCACAGGGCATCGACCTGGGGCCAGGAGGCTGGGACCAGGCCCCTGAACCAAAAAATCGTCGCTGGCGGACCGGGCCAGCGCGTGTGGAAATCAATCGCTAGACTGACTATAGAAGGAGAGGCGGGCTCAGCGTTCCACGCAGATGTCCAACGCCTGTGCGTCGGAGTCTCGGCCCCAGCACATCCGCGCGGACACCCGTCGCCCTCCGACTACCCTGCCTCCTCGCGTCGACTGGCGGGCCTGGCGCCGCCGACAGCAATGACCAACATCTGCTCCGCGGGGTGCCTGCCCTGCGGGAGCTGCTCGAATAATTGGAGGAACTTCCCGCGACTTAAGCGCCGTTGACCTGCGCCCCAGCTGCGCCCCTCCAGTGCTGCAGCCGGAGGTCTGCGCAGATGGCGTCGAGCAGCTGGTCGGCATCGTCGGCGCCGTCGAGGCCCCGGTAGAAATCCCATGCATGCTGGGCGCCGCCAGCGCCCGACGGCATGAACCGCTGCGCTGGCGACTGAGGGGCCCAGTCCGCCGACGGGAGGTCCAGAGCGATGGCAGCGAGCGGCCCGCGCACACGTCGCGCTCGACGGTTCGCCGGGGGAGCGCGAAGTCGACCCACTGCCGCGCGCCAAACTCGTCGCGCAGGGTCGCGCGCTCTTCGCTCGCGAGTCCACGCGCATCCACATGGCGGGACACTGCCCTGAAGATGATGTCCTCGGTCCGTGCCAGGAGCACGGAGGTCCAGCAATGTTGTCAGACGCCCACCGTGGCGACGGCCTCCGGCGATGCCTCCCTGCCGCCCGCGTTGCGCTAGGATACTAAATCTCCGGAAGCCCTTCGGCATCTTGAAACGCCGAGACGCCGCTGCAAATCTCTTGATCTTCTGATGCTGCTGCAAGGAATGCCGCGCGCGTTTGGTCCGCGGCGCTCGGGCTAGCCTGCGGCCTGCCCCTAGGTCCACGCCGATGTTGGACGTCTGCTTGGGCGCCTGCGCGGTGATGCCGCGCCATCGCAGTCTCCGCGGAATGCTCCGTGCTGTGTCCATGCTAGTGCAGGAACCGATGCTCTTCTCGACCCGCCCGAATGATCCGCCGGAGAGGCAGCCGCAGGCGGTTGCGACGCCGTCGACCAGGCAATCCTCCGCGAAACTTGCCGACGCCACAACTCGGCGCGATAGAACATCAATCCAAAATCGCTCAGACAGCCAAATACGTTGTTAGCCATGCACCTCGCGAAGCGGGCCCCTCTTTGGAAGCCCCAGATAATGCCCCGAGTTGTCCGGAAGTGGTCCGAAGCCGCATTGAACTGGGCGGGAAGGCGAGGCCCAGCGCAGACCTGTAAATCAGGACGGAGGACTTG